CATTTACGTTGGGTGTCCCACATGTGAGACACTCAGAAAAAAAAATTGCCAGGCGTCCCGCCAGTGTGACGCTGTATCAGGGTTCACGCTCCGACCCAGCAGCGGGCCATGGCCGGTGCACGGACAAAGTCTGGGCCAGCCCAGCGTGCCGATTTTGTAGCCGGCCGAAAACTTTTATTTTCAGCTTCAAAATATACCAGCGTTAGTATGTTAATATAGTTAATAAAGATATTGTTTTATAAATGGTATATCAATAGTAATGATATAGTTGTGATGGTAATGATTACATTAATAATTTTACTTATGATGATAGTAGTATTGATAATGATTATAATTATAGTCAACAGTAGTAATAATTGATGGTAATTATAAAGCTAGAAATAAATGTATTAATTCCATTTTGGGATTTCCAAAGAATAAAATGATCTGCTGCTGATGGTTTTCATAACAGTGCTAAACACTTCTGGTGAATAATGCATACAGAAAAAGTTCAAAGAGTAGACTTTTATTAGTCCTTGTATAATAATCACAATGTGTAAAAAGAAGAAAAATAAACTAATGATTAAAGATAGTAATACCAATAATAATAACAATTATATTAGCAAGATTGATAATGAGATAGTAATAACAACAAGGGTATCGATTTTAGCCCAATGCTGCCGGGTAAAAAAGTTTAGCAAGTGGACGTAATAACGGGATTGTTGGCGCACATTGGCAGTTTCCCCTGTTTGCGCCCAGCATGTTCGGTAGTTTGTGAGCAACATTTGGCACCTAAAAGCTTTTATTTTGCTATATTCTTTGTTGTGACATACCCTCCCAATACCTTATTCGTTATTGTAGTGGGAGGGCTTAGGAGACGAAGACTGAGGTCCAATTTAGGGGATCATCCCTACCCCGGGCCTCAGCCCGCGCCTCAACTAATTTTGCTTGGTCTTTTCTTCTCTCCTTTCCCCCTCCCAAAACCTAGCTCGTTGTCGTTGTGGGAGGGCTTAGGAGATGGATTTTGAGACCCAATGTAGAGGATTACCCCTACCTTGGGCCTCAGCCCTTGCCTCAACTAATTTTGCTTGATCCTTTCTTCTCTTCTTTCCTCTTCCTTATCTTCTTTATTTCCTTCTTCTATCCCATTCCTAAGGTGTGTGAGCCATGCTGAAAGGACAAAAGGCTGGCTTTGTGTCAGTCACGAATCACCTCCGGGAGCCGAAGGCATGGTATTCCCTTGGTTAATTACTTAGCCCTTACCCCGTATGGGGACGCTAAGGGGTAGATCATTTCTTTTTTCTAGTTTATTCAGGCTCACCATGGCAGTAATGACGATTCTTTACCCTTAATAGAGGCATTAAGGCTTGCCCCTTCATCAAATAGCCTATCTGAATTTGATTTTGATGGTTTTCCGACCCCTGCCCCTCCTTTGACCACGGCTCTGACCACTGATGCTAATACCCGCTCTTCTACACTTACGAACAACTCTAACCATTCTGAAACACCCACACAAGTTATTACTCAATCCCAAGAAAACACCTCTTCCTCATCCCCAACATTCTCCTCTATATCTCCTGCTGCACAACCCTCTTCAATGTCAACCGCCTCTTCCCGTATTACTACTCTTCATCCTTATCGTTCTGCCCCCGCAGAACTACTCCACTCCACACCACCCCATCTTCCTCTCGCTCTTGTCCTTCTACCTCTGCAAACCTTCTTGGCCCAGCCAAGTGGGATCGATTCTTTGTGATTCCCCCCCACAGCCCCCTATTCTGAGAATACCCTTCTCTTTCAGGAGTACTTCCAGAAACAAGTAGGCAAGGTTACCTTTCGCAGTCGTTCTGATCGTTCACGTCTTGTCATGGTTACATCTGAAGCCCAAGCTTGTGCACTATGTACCTTTACCTTACTGGCAAAACCATTCCTGCTGAACCTCACCCAACTCTTAATACTTATACTGGAACTGTTTCTATTCCTCCAAATGCTTGTCCCATGTATAACAATGACTGGTCAGACTGTGAAAATGACCTACTTTCATCATCATCATCATCATGGGTGCTGACGCCGACGGGGGCGCATAGCCGCATCCACCCTTCGCTTCCACCTACGAGGATCCCTCATGGCTAGACGCCAGGCAGGGACTCGGCCCATCTCTAGTTCTTCACGGCAGGTTTGGTCGATCTGCCCAAGCCATGACTTCCTCGGTCGTCCCACAGGCCTCCTCCACCCAGGGTTGTCTCGAATAGAGACGACCTGATGGGCAGGATCATCCTGAGGAAAGCGAGCCAGGTGGCCGTATAGCCTGAGTTGGCGATCACGGATTGTGCAGATAACAGGGCTTGTGCCAGTCTCACGGTGCAACCGTTGGTTGGACACATGGTCCCGCCAACAGTACCCCATGATCTGGCGCAAGGACCTATTACAAAAGGCTTCAAGACGAGCCTCCAAGGCACAGGACAATGTCCAGGTTTCGCTACCGTATAGCAAAACTGGCATTATCAGGGCCTTGAAAACCCGTAGCTTGGTCCTTCTGCACAGGTACCGACATCTCCAAATACTCTTGTTGAGAGAGTTCATGACCCCTGCTGCCAGGCCAATCCGTCTGCTGACTTCATGGTCTGACAGCCCAGAGTTATGAACTACACTACCAAGGTATGTAAAGCTCTCTGTGACTTCAATGTCCTCGCCGCAAGCACGTACCGACTGAACAGGTTCTCCTAACAAGTCCCCAAATTCCTGGACCTTGGTCTTGGTCCAGGAGACCTCTAGACCCAGGGGCTTCGCTTCATTGCTAAATGCATCGAGAGCCGCCACTAGGGTTTCCAAAGACTCAGATAGAATGGCAACGTCATCAGCAAAGTCAAGGTCTGTAACCTTGATATTGCCCAGCGTTGCCCCACAATGACTTTGAACAGTAGCTCTGCCCAGTATCCAGTCCATGCAAGTGTTGAAAAGAGTTGGTGCAAGGACACAGCCTTGCCTCACTCCTGAACTAACAGGAAAGAAGCTCGACAGGCCCCCACCACACTTTACAGCACTTTCAGTACCAGTATACAGGCTTGCTATTAGTCCAATAATCCTTGTTGGTATTCCTCTCAGCCTCAGGATCTCCCAAAGTGACTCCGATGCACCGTATCGAACGCCTTCTTGAGGTCGATGTAGGCTGCAAGCAGCCCACGCCCGAACTCACGACGGCGCTCTACAATGACTCGAAGCGCGAGGATACGGTCTATTGTGGACTTACCAGGAGTGAATCCAGATTGCTTGGGGAATATGGTACAGTGGCAGTACAGTGTTACACTCTTCTTTCCAGAGCCAACATAAATTCCATGTCAATATTGCCAAGATTAGCTTCCATAGACAAAACCTCCCCCATGGAGTTTATATTGGTGGATTGTCTTATCATGTCCGACAATTCCTTGTCAATGTCAAAAATGTTGGTGTTTTGGCCACCCAGCCAAACATTGTCACTCCACAGCCCGCTGCTCTCTATGTGCCCAACCTGGTCGTGACTGTTCAAATTGCCCTGCTCAGTCACGTACATGTGCCAATTGTGGAGACTCCCATAATGTATTTTATAGGAGCTGCCCTTACTATAAGGTTGATTGTGAGGTAGCAGTCATCAAATTTAAACTAGGCTTCACTCTACTTAAGGATAGACAGGAAGCACGATGACGAGGTTTTTCTCTCTCAACTTATTTCAAAACAGTCCTATGCTCTGCTCCCCCACCATCTGCCCAAGATATTTCTGCTTCTCTCCAGGTATCTTTTCCCTATACCCAAAACCTACGTCCTATGCCTGCTCACCCTATCCACCAGTCAAATTTATTTTCCAACTTAAATCCAGATACTCCAATCTCTACCACTTCCCGGATACCTACCCCTCCTCCTCACTTTATTTGCCGTGCCAGACAACCTAAACGTTCCACTCCATGCTCTCCTACTCTCCTACGACATTCTCTCCTACGCCTTCCTTTTCATTTGTTCCTCAGATATCCATCTCTTCTTCTCCTCCTTATAAGAGAACTGTTGTTTCTCAGTCCTCTATACTAAATTCCCCTCCAGAAACCCTTGAAGACATCCAAAACTTCCTAAAGATGACCCAAGGGAACACTCTGCTCCCTCATCCACCCCCCCCAATCCCTCTGTTCTTACTCCTGCTACATTTAAAGTATTTGCAGATATTCATCCTCCTCCTTCCCAAGTTCCCTCCACCCCCTTTCTCCTACACCCTCTCAACATACCCCACCCTCTCTACCACTTCCACTTGAATACTCACATGAATCCTCTCTATCACAACAGTGTCCTTCTCCAGACATTTTTCCTGATGCTTCACCACCTTCCCCAGTCTCCTTTTCTCAACCCTTGGATTCTTCTCCTCCTACTTCTCCAACAGCCACCTCTGTTTTCCTTGATCAATGTCCCTACTCCTTCCCCAGTCACAGATACACTGCAATTCACTCAGTTGCTCTACCCCCTTATATTCCCGCATCCCCTTCCCAAGTTACCTCATCTTCTCAATCACACAAACCACCCAAACCAATCCCCCCACCAGAACCCCATCCTTCCTCACTATCCCTCCCACTCCCTCCTGGATTCACACGTGAATCTCTTTTATCACAATACCCTTCCCCAGACCCCACCATCCCTATCGAACCCCCAGACACTACTCCATCACCTACTCCTGATCCTTTATCTCAACCCTAGGATACCTAATCTCCTACTATTAAGACAACCTTATCTACCATTATCACCAATTATCCCTATTCCTTCCCCAGTCACACTTCTTAACCTTTCCCACTTATTAGTCACTGCTCTACTTCATTTACTTCCCTCGTTTCCCTTTTCATTACCATACTTTCCTATAACAAACTCTAATCTTTGATATCTAACACCTTCCCCTCTCCCCGGATTCTTCTCTTACTCTTCAACAGCTATCTCTATTCTTCCTTGAATATTTTTCCTATACCTTCCCCAGTGACAGATACACTATAATTCACTCAGTCACCGTACCTGTC